GGTGGCTCAGGGCATCTGCATTAGCCAATTGGCTTCCTGGACAGTGTTCCAACTTGTACTTGTACGTGCTGGGAATAAGGGCCCAACACTGAATTCTACCCGAAGCCAAGGGCAGCACCACCTTGTCTTCCTTCAGTAGCCCTAGCAGGGGTTTGTGATCTGTTACTATGACAAATTCCCATCCATAGAGGCACTGGTGGAACTTCCTCACACCAAAGATGACCGCTAAACCTTGCTTCTTTATCTGGGCATACTTGCATTTGGTATCAGCCAAAGTCTGGGGAGCATACGCTATCGGGCGTTCCTCTCTGTTGGGCCACCAGTGAGCCAACACCATCCTGATTTAGTACAGGGAGGCATTGCATGTCAGCACTGCTTCTCGCTTTGGATCGTAGAGGACCAACACCTTAGATGACGATAGCTGTTTTTTCACTTCCATAAAGATTGCTTCTTGGCTTCGCAACCATTTCCAAGGCTGACCCTTTCTCAAAAGCAGTTGTAAGGGTGCCAAGATGAAGGCCAGGGTTTATATGAATTTTCCGTAATAATTCACTAACCCAAGGAAAGACCTAAGCTTCAGTACAGGCGTGGGAGCGGCAGCTCCTTTGTTCGCCCTTGCTTTCTCTTCCAACAGGTGTAACCCTGTTTTGTTGACTCTGTAACCCAAGTAGGTCACTTGGGATGCTTGGAACACACATTTTTCCTGTCTAAGGCGTAGGCCTGCCTGGGAGAAACATTTAAGCACAATGTCCAAGTTCTCCAAGTGCTTTTTATTTACTAGTGCACAGTACACTGGCTGTGACCAGCCAGGTCGGAGTCCATCCTCAACTGAGGAGATTCTAATCTCCTGGTTATATTGGTCAGCTAAGGCTTTCCTGCGTGTCCCAGGTTAACAACCCCAATCAAGATCCTTGTAGTCGACAAGGTTTGCCTGGTCCCAATCACTACAGCCTGTATTCTCTGGAGTTTACATGAGTGACCTATTTGGAACATAGAATCTCTACAGCGTGGAAACAGGCCATTCAGCCCAACAAATCCACACCACCCCTCCAAAGCGCACCACACCCAGACCCATTCCCTATAACCCAGCATTTCCCATGTCTAATCCACCTAACTTATATACCCAATAGACACTACGGGCAATTTAGCACGGCCAATCCACCTAACCTGCAGTCTTTGGACTGTGGGTGGAAACCGGAGCACACAGAGAGAACTGCAAACTCCACACAGATAGTCGCCCAAGGCTGGAATCGAACCTGGGTCCCTGGTGCTGGGAGGCTGCAGTGCTAACCACTGAGCCACCGTGCTGCCCTGTAAGATCCTGATGGGACTTCATTGGATCAATGTGGAAAGGATGTGTCTCGTGGGATGATCTAGAACTAGGGATCAGAGTTTAAAAGTAAGGGGATGCCCATTTAAAACAGAGATGAGGAATTTTCTTTTACTCTTAAAGAGTTGTGAATCTTTGAAATTCCCTTCCTGAAAAGACAGTGGATGTAGAATCTTTAAATATTTTTGATGATAGATTTTTGATTACCAAGGAGATGAAAGATGAAAAGAAAGATGATATTGTGGTTCAGTGGTTAGTACTGCTGCCTCAGAGTGCCAATGACCCAGGTTCGATTCCAGCTTTGGCCAACTGTCTGTCTGGAGTTTGACATTCTCCCCGTGTCTGTGTGGGTTTCCTTTGGGTGCTCCGGTTTCCTCCCATAGTCCAAAGATGTGCAGGGTAGGTAGATTGACCATGCTAAATTGCCCATAGTGTCCAGGAATGTGCAGGCTAGATGGGTTAGCCACACAAAATGCATGGTTACAGAGATGAGGTGTGTCTGGGTGGGATGCTCTTCACTAGGGAGATGTGGACTTGATGGGCCAAATAGCCTGCTTCAACACTATAGGAATTCTGTGATTATTGGGCGATTGGCTGTGATCTTATTGACAGCAGAGTAGGCTCAAAGGGCCAAGTGGCCTGGTCTTATTCCTTGTTCATATATAAGAAACAACATACAACTTGCTGGAAAAGCTCAGCAGGTCTGGCAGCACCTGTGAAGAGAAAAATCAGAGTTAACATTTCGGGTCCGGTAACCTTTCCTCAGAACACCTGAGTTAGGGTCACCGGACCCGAAAGTTCTGAGAAGTACTGAGGAAGAGTCACCGGACCTGAAACTTTAACTCTGATTATTTTCTTTGCAGATGCTGCCAAACCTGCTGAGCTTTTCCAGCAACTTCTGTTTTTGTTCCTGATTTACAGCATCTGCAGTTCTTTTGGTTTTTATAAGAAACAAAAAATAGTTTTGATCAAGTGCCACAAGCCTTTGACAATCACCTGAACCTCAGAATAAATAAAAACCTTGAAAGAGCAAGATGTACTGGAGGAGTTCAGCATCAAAGGGCATCCATAGTTAATTTCATTTATGATTCCGACAGATTAATAAAAAAAAGTACAAGTAAAGTCAAAATTCACGAAAAATAGTTGTTGGAATGCTGTGTCTCTGTCATATTTATTACAGTCAAAGGAAGATTTGATTTTGGATGGGTCTATGCACATGGTGAGTGAAGCAGAAGTCTAAAAGCAATGCAGATCAATCGTAAGAAGAGAATATCAAGAATATCAACCATGTCATAGGAGATGCAGAATCAATTCAGTTCTTAAGATACAGAAACCCAAAAAGCACACACGTGAATCTACATGTCAAGGTACATAATTGAGATGCGATGAATACAACGTCGTAGAAGCCACTACTGAGTTGGGACAACCAATGACCATGGAGTCAAGACATGCTCAAGAAGATATTTTCTGGCCCAGTGATCTAGGCTACTGTCAAGAAGGAACAATCTAGTTCAGAAATCCAGGATACTGCCAAAAAGGAAAAAATAAAATCTTTGGTCCAGATATCTCAGATACTTCAAAAAGAAAGCCTCCAGTTTCAACAAGTCAGCATCCTCCAAGAAGGAAGCAAATGAAATTAATGGTCTCCCATTTTTTTACAGTTGAGGAATTCCCTGCTTCAGCAGAAAATACATGTTCTATGAAGTAAACCCTGGAAATAAAGTGTCCTCCAGTTTTAATGGATTTAAAGGTCTCAAACGGTCAAGAACAGAATTAAAGTCAATGGTCTTCAACCCAGAGATCTACCACTCTTTAACGTCTGAAGAAAACACATTCTGGGAGAGTTGTGAAATCTTCAGACAGCTTGAATTTGTGCAGTTAGAGACTTGGGGGAGAAAGTACTCAGGGGAGATGTTGTATAAGGGTATAATGTCTAAAAGGTTTAAAGCTTGGGAGTGCATTAAGCACCACCCATGTGATAACATCACATGGACTTAGGAGATCAGCTTTGGATTTTGAAAGAGTAGAACACTCATGTCAAGATGATCAGCCTCCTTTTTAAATCTGCAAATAAAGGCCCACTAACATAATTGGGAAGCTCTCTACAATTTCTCTTGGTGTCTGAGCAGAGGAACAGTGATGTAGGCAAAAACTTTCTAGAGGAAGATCATGGGACAAAAAAAAAGCTCATCAGGAAGTCTTTCTTTGATTCACTTTCTGCTTATCTATTTCCTTTTCATTTGTCTCCAATATTCTAAATTACTCATCTTTTCTATGCCTGTCTCACTTTGTCTAATTAATTCTCCTGCCTGCATGCCCACTTTTTTGTTTCCATATGCTTTCTGTTTGTCTTAAGGGACTAAATGATGGAGCTCTCAGGGACAAGAATAAGTCAAAAATGTTAAAATAAATTAAGTGATTTTAACCAAGGTGATGGAAATGACCACCATGGCAAGTGTTAAAACAGATTGTATGTACTACTGTTAGCAGTAGAATCAGGTTAGGATATTGACAGGTACCTTGAAAGAGAATGTTAAATTAATAGTCTCCTCTTGATTAAAATATCGCTAAGTTACGTGAGCACATGATATACAATGCTTTTCTTTGTTGGAAGTTGACTGCTACGATGTTGGACAGTGCTGTCCTCTTCTGGTATATTCCAGCTTAACCTCTGAGAACACCTGTGCAGAATTGTCATGCAGTTGTCCTCTTTCTTCAGCTACCTTCTCTTTCATCTTCATCTAACCTTGAATATACTCTAATTCTTAATGCTATTAGATTGCTTCAGTTATTAAACTAATTGTGATACATTACATAGTCTGCACTTCTGTACGGTAAAGATGTTCCATTTTGGAAATTTTGACATGTTTCCTAGTGTGCTGACTGGGACACATATGATGTTCTCTGTTTTATAGTCCAGTGATAAGCATCCACACCAAGAAAGACACATCACTGGTTCTGTGCCACAAAATTAACCTGGCTTAACTTGTGGCACAGAGCCCCTTCTGCATCCACCAGAAGCATCAGAGAGGTGCTACTTTGAAATTTGAGTATTTCACTTAGTCTCTTCAACTCTTTGGTGTCCAGACCATGTTTAATGTTTGAACTTCTATGTGGTTCCCGTTCCTACTAATCATGGAGTAAGAAATCCTGTTCTGTTCAGATGTGTTTCTACTAAGCATATGCCAGATTCCATTAAAGGTACTTGACTTGGGACCTCCTGGAACTGGAATTCTCCACCCATCCCTTACAAAAATGGCCATATTTAGGGTAGATGGATGGAAGACTCCTGATCACCCATTATGACATCCTTGATGTTAGGCCAAGTTTATTGGAATAACTGAAGAATTTCTTCGCCCATGTGTATATTTTCATTTGACTATATTATTGACATATTAATCATTAATTTCTGATTTTGTTATACAGTATTCCCTTTTATGTATTTTCATTGAGCTTAAATGGATCTTAAGCAACATCAGTAATTGCATAATTGTTCACCTCTTTCTTTTCATGATGTGAATCCCTTTGAGCTTTTGGGTTGTTTGATGGCTTTAGGAATGCCTTTTCCAACTTTCTTAAATTCTTGAAATAGGTTTTATTTATCATCATTTAAGTCAAAATTATTCCCACTTGTTAGAAATGAAAATAAGTCCAAACATTTGTTTATTAGAAGCAAGAGCTGCAGACAAATTATGTTATGAAAAGCTTAACATTGAAGGGACAGAGAAAGGAAATTGTGGCAAAAACAAAGACACCTGGATCCAATGCAATAAGCAGTAAGTAAACTCTTTATCTACATTTCAAGTACAATTATATTTTAATTGAAATTTTGTGTTAATGGACCAAAATATCTCAAAACACTTCAAAATACAATAAATTGCTTTGAAAGTGAAATGGTTGTTGCTGTTTTGACAAACATGCAACCCTTAATGGTGCAAAGTTCAATCATGAGACTACTTTAACTCCTTAAAGTCAGAACAAGTTTATTACATTTTCATGTAAACTCGGTGATTTACAGTCTAAAAGGGGGTGATATACATCCTGGATTATGACTGGATAGAGAGAGCACAATGACTTCACTTCTTGTACCTTTGAGCTTTGGGCTCTTCGTCCCTGCATTTCTCTTCTACAATTATCTATTCTCTTGTTAACCTGGTTGCTAGATCTCTCCACTGTGCACATTTAATTTGGAGGCCCTCTTTTATCCTGGCTCTTATCCACTTAAACCCACACTCTCCCTAGTCATCTCCTGCCAATGATTAAGCGTGCTTTTCTTGACCAACCAGGAATAATTCACGTGGCTGTTGCTAACTTTTACTTAATAATGAAACACCCTTCGTGTTTACCATCGAATCTAAAGGGTTTTACATCCCATAGTCTCTTGTCGAGTGAGGTATCTACATTACGTTCTTGTCTTTATTTTGCATACAAACAGATCTCAGATGCCTTCAAGGTCTCTGCTTTTTGCTCAAGTAAGCTGTTTGAAAACTTGACAATTTTCCCATGGTCCTACCAGCTCAGCATTTTTCTGAAGAATCCACACATTCCCACCATCGCCTACCAACATCACCCACATAAAACTTGCCGAATCTTCTGGCCTTTCACTAACCTTTGCATCATTATACATCTCTTTTAATTTGATACCATCCTTAACTTTATTGGTTTGCAACAAATGGAGCATCCATCTCATAGAGTCTTTCTTTTTTAGTGGGACTATATCCTAATTCTGAAATATCCTGTTAAATGTCTACTGCAACTTCTCCTTACTTTTAAATGATTTTCTCATTCCCCAATAGCCAACTCAGTCTTCATTCCATTGTTACTGCCTTTACTTAAGTTGAAGATGCCAGTTTCCAACCAAAGGTTTTCACCCGTATACTAAATGTTACATTCTATCACATTATGACCACTCTTACCTAGAATATTCTTTATTGTAAAATCATTAATCAATCATGTTTTTTTACATTGCCAATTTTATTTGTCCCATCTATGTCAAAATTAAGTTCTCCAACAATCATTGCAGTACCTTTCTTAAAGCCCTCATTATTGTAGATTTAAGCTGTGTCCTACTGAGTAAATACTGTCAGAGGCCTATTAAACCACTCCAAGCTGACTCATCTGCCATTCCTTACCTCCATTGAAACTGATTGTACATTTTGATCCTCTGAAACAAGATTATTTCTTACTAATGTACTAATCTCATTGGCAGAACTATCCTACCTTCTTTCTCTTTCTTCCCATACTTCTGAAATATCAAATATACTTCAATATTCTGATCCCAGAAATGCTCACTTTTGCACCGTATCTCAGAAATACCTGTCATGTCATGATCATTAACTTCTTTTTCTATCATTATAGTTTTAAATCAAGTTTTCCATTTTACCTGATCCAACTCATTCCTCATATCTATGTAATTGGTATCATTAAGGTTTAATGATCTAGCTTCAGACTCAATTATTTCCTTCCAGAACTCAATGTAAACTTTTATAGTATGGCCACACTTACCCAAACAACCTTTACTGTGATAGCATTAATTAGCCTTATCTCATTACACATAACCATCCAAAAATACCTCTTCTGTGGTTCCATGACTTACTGCTCTAGGAAACTGTCTGAAATGCATTTTAGATAACAAGGTGTGGAGCTGGATGAATACAGCAGGCCAGGCAGCATCAGAGGAGCAGGAAAGCTGATATTTCAGGTCTGGACCCTTCTTCAGAAATGGGGGAGGGGAAGGGCGCTCTGAAATAAATAGAGAGAGGGGGAGGCGATGATAGAAGGTGGATTGTGGAGCAGATAGGTGGAGAGAAGACGGACAGGTCAAGGAGGCGGGGATGAGGCTAGTAGGTAGGAAATGGGGGTGGGGGTTGGTCAGTGACGTGGGAGGGGCGGGTAGGTGGGAGAAAAGATGGACAGGTCAAGCTCCACACCTTGTTGTCTCAGAATCCAGCATCGGCAGTTCCTACTATCTCTGAAGTGCATTTTATATGCTGGAATTTATGTTCCCTGTCTTTCTAGCTAAAAAAGCAGTTGAGAAGTTCATGCAGAGAGTATAGCTGCCCCACTGCCACTTAACATTTCATTGGCTATTAGTAAGCTGGAAACAGGATTTCCACCCCTCAGTGACTGGAAGTCTTATTTCAGAGAGCTGCTGGCCAATCAGATGGCTGGCAATACTTTGGTTTAGCAGCACCAGGCAAGCGTAGTGGTCACCGCTGGGACTACAAGCAGTTCCCAATGAAGATCATTACTGAAGCCAAGCACCAAGGTAATTGAAGAGAAGGGAATTTCACCAGATTCAAAACAGCAAGCCCTATAACCACGTCTTTGTAAAGGTGCATAGGTTAAAGACATTTAATCTCTATTTGTACCATTCGTTTTTCTATTTTGTTCTGAATGCTTTTTTCATTGTTTTTGTTTTGTTACATTTTCACATTGGTTTGACAGTGATGCAACTTTGTTTTTGCTGCAATTTGCATTCTGTAAAAGGAACAAAAGTGAAGTTGACAACATCTCTTTACTAAAGTTAATGAGATAGATTTCTCCACTCAGTAGCTTAACTAATTTGAATTTTAAGGCTACTTATTTACTTCAGATCTCACGCCGGTGTCTAAGTTACACAAAATGTACAAATTGAAATTGAGAAATGTAATGATTAGATTGTATGTATGAATAATCAAATATGCAGACTTAATCTTCATTTAACATGGGCCTGACTATACTTCTGATTTATTCCAGAGATGTACTGTGTGGCTATTTGCTGTGCGATGATACCTCTGGTGTGCCAAGAATCGGAGAACTCACGGGTGATGTGACTGTCTCTACCTTCTTACTGAAACACAAGCATATCAACTGCAGGTAAATCGTTATATTTCTGATGCAAAAGTGACAAAATAACAGGTGGAGAAGTTTCCTTCATGTAATTATGTGTTATCTAATAATAATCAGTTGGACTTACATGAATAAATTGACCTTTGGTGAAAATTAACTATGGTGAAAATTATCCATCAAGAAAAGAAATTCTAAAAAAACCTCACTGTAATTTTTCCTCATAAGTAGCTCATAAGTGCAATTGGCAAATTAGCCATTTTGGGAAACTCTACTAAATGAATAAGTTTTTGATCTCTAGAGTTCAACTCTTATTGAAATGTGAAGGGTTTGTAAATGTAAACGATCCTCTCTTATCCTCCTCAACCAGGATTTTTGAAGATGAAGTCTAATAAAATAAACCACATGAGACCGTCCCATAATCTCCCTGCCCACCAACTTGTCTCCCATTTCGCAGAGACATCAGGCAGAGCGTACACCTTTAGGTCACTGCAGTCCTTAAATAGACAAACAGTGGCCACTTAAGGGCCTAATTCCATCTGAATCACTATGTAAAGCAGGGGAAAAAGGAACAGAAGGACATAGCCTCGCAGATTTCACTACACAGAGTGCTATTAGGCAGCAAAGGGGCTGTACCTGCTTTTGAGGGTCCCCTGCTCCCATGGGAGGCACCCCCACATGATTGCACAGCCGTTTAAACCTCCCCCATCGAGCATTTCTAAAACAGACCCCATCATCCTCCCTCACTGGGGCCTCCAAGATAAGACCTTCCACAATCCTAGATTTACTTTTAAGGCTGGGTCCATCATTTTTTTGGCAGGTGGGGTGGTCTATCTGCTCTTCCACTCGTGGCCGCCACTTAGCCACGGAACTACTGGAACTGTAGAGTTGCTGGCAATTCAGACTTCCCAGCAGCCCCTCCAGTGGGGCTGGAAGTTCTGCTGTGAAAGAATCCAGGTTGTTCTCAGTGTAATACCACAACTGGGTTTTGAATGGCACACTTTCAGTCCGAGGAGGGGTTAGCAGTGAATACTGCATCCCATAAATTCCAGCTAAAGGAGAAAATGTTTCCATCAGAGGGACATAAATCTTTGAAATTCTCTGCCCCAGATAGTTACTCATTGAATATATTCAAGCCACAGAATTTTAGATTAGAATCAAATAATATGGGGATAAGGTGGAAAAGTAGTCTGAATATTGGAGCTGGTCCGGGGTCTCAGTAACCTACACATGCTCATTTAGAGTCATAGAGTAATGGAAACAGGCCCTTTGGCCCAAACCGGTCCATGCTGAGCATGGTGCTGACTCAACTAGTTCCAGTTGCCTGCATTTGCTACATATCCCTTTAAACCCTACCTAACCAAATATTTTTTACATGTTGCTATTGTACCTTATCTCAACCACTTTCTCTGGCAGCCCATTCCATATAGGCACCACTCTGAGCGTGAAGAAGTTGCCCCTCAGGTCCTTCTTAAATCTTTCCCCTCTCACCTTAAACCTATGTCCTCTAGTTTTCAATTCCCCATCCCTGGGAAGAAGACTATATGCATTCATCCTATCTATGCCTCTCATGATTTAATACACCTGAATAAGGTCACCCCTCATTCTCCAACATTCCAAGGAATAAAGTCTTATCCTGGCCAACCTCTCCCTATAACTCAGGCCTACTAGCCCTGGCAACATCCTTGTCAATCTTCTTTGCACAGTTTCCAATTTAACTATGTATTTCCTATAACTGGGTGACCAAAACTGGACACAATATTCCAAGTGCGGCCTCACCATTGACTTATACAACTGTAACATAACGCCCTAACTCTTATACTTAGTACCTTGACTGATGAAGGCCAGCATGCCAAATGCCTTCTTCACCACCTGTGACGCCACTTTCAACGAACTATGTACTTGTACTCCTAGGTCCCTCTGTTCCACGACATTCTCAGGATCTTACCATTTACTACCTTGGCTTGAGTTTCCAAAGTGCAACACTTCACACTTATCTGTATTGAATTGCATTTGCCAATTCTCAGCCCACTTTCCCATCTGATCAAGATCCCTCTGTAATTTTTGATACTCTTCCTTGCTATCAATGATATCTCCTGATTTTGTACCATCCGCAAACTTACTAATCATGCCTTGTACATTCACATCCAGATCACTTATGTAAATAACAAATAACAAAGGCACCAACCCTTGTGGCATACCACTAGTCGTGGCCTCCAGTCTGAGAAACAACCTACAACCATCACCCTCTGCTTCCTACCATCGAGCCAATTTTGAATCCAATTAGCTGGCTCTCCCCGGATCCTATGCAACCTAACCTTCATGACTAGCCTGATGTGTGAGACCTTGTCAAAAGCCTTACTAAAGTCCATATAGACAACATCCACTGCCCTACCCTCATCTGTCCTTTTGGTTACCTCTTCAAAAAACTCGAAAAGATTTTTCAGATATGGATTCCCACGCACAAATCTATGCAGACTTTCCCTAATCAGACCTTGACTATCCAAATATTGGTTGGTCTTGTCCCTCAGTATCATCTCCAATAACTTGCCTACCACTGATGTCAGACTTACTGGCCTATTGTTCCCTGGCTTGTCTTTGCTGCCTTTCTTAAATAATGGAACAAGATTAGCCACCCTGCAGTCTTCTGGAACTTCACCAGTGGGTAAAGATGAAGCAAAAATCTCTGCAAGAGCCTCTGCAATTTCTTCCTTAGCCTCCCACAATCTCCGAGGATGGACTTGATCAGGCCCAGGGGATTTATCCACCTTAATGTGCTTTAAGGCTGCAAAATAAGTATGTGGTCCAAACTATTTTCCCTTATTTCCTTAGCATTCATGATTCTTTCCTCAGTAAACACTGAGGAGAAAAACTTATTAAAAATCTCCCCCATCTCCTGTGGCTCCACACTTAGACAGCGATGCTGATCTTTAAGGGGACCTATTCTCTCCCTAGCCATCCTTTTACTCTTAATATCTGGAACCTCTACGTTGTTAAACATCAGAAGCTCAGGTGCCATTAATGCATTTGGTGCTGGTGGACCTCCGGTTTTACAACATCAAAGAAATCAGTATTGCCCACCATCTCCATTGTGCCAGTATTAATAACTGGAGACAAAAATAGAAATTGGTGGAAAAGCTCAGCAGGCCTGTCAGCATCTGTGGAGAGAAATCAGAGTTAATGTTTCAGGTCGAGTGACCCTTCCTCGGAACTGATGATAGGTAGGAAAGTGTCGGGTGGGGGAAGGAGGTAAGGAGTAAACAATAAACAGGAATAGAGCCCAAAGAGAGAGAAGAACAGTTGGAGAAACAAAGGAGTGGCTAACGATCTGGCTAAGAGGGTGAATAGCTATTAATGGGGACTGTTAATTGCTAACAAAGGGTGTTGTGCAATAGCAGACTGTGTGATAACAAGAGACAACAAGGTGCAGGGCTGGATGAACACAGCAGGCCAAGCAGCATCATAGGAGCAGA